GCAGCTGGACGGTCCCGTTCCAGACGTGAGGACATTATGTTGTGCGGTAAGACGGGGCCACCGTAGCGCTCCGCTGCACCGGGAAGTCGGAAAGGGGCACCGGGAAGTCGGAAAAGGGGTCCGGCTGTGTCCGTATTTTACGTGTTGCTTGTTTGATGGGTATTGAAGTGCTTAAATCGGGACGTGAAGGTGTGTTGACTGATCCCAGTCCGATGATGTCGACCCGACGTCGTCAATAACTCGGTGATCACCAACCTGATGCTTATCCACGTGAGCGTCTATCTCATCAGCCAGGATGACGTTCTTACATATTTCCCGGGGTCCGGCTGTGTTGACTGGAGTGTTTCTAGACAAGCGGTAATGCTCTACGTTTTCCAGTGTTGGTGCATCTTTCGTGGCACAGGGCTGCGCGAGAGGCCGCTGACTAGGGAGTGATTTGACGTCGAGGTCAAGTGGAGTGGCCACGAAATTCTTGCGGCTTTGGTCTTGGGCGTCGTAGTCAATGCGGGGATCAATGATTTCCCGCGCGTGGCCCTGCCACTTGGGCCAAACGGCCAACCACTCGCGCTTAGCAAACACAGTTGGGTGCGGCGTGCGGTGGATCTCTCGTCTCACGCGTCGTGTTGCGGTGCAAGGAACGACGGCCCTGCAACCGAATTGCCAGAAAGGGTACCGTGGCGTATGTGTAGACAAGCTGCTTGTGCACGATAGCACGTGTGGCACGGATGTGGCCCGAAGAAGCCTGCTCCGTTTCGTTGCACAGCTACTCGTACAATGCGCACTGAAACTCATTTGGCATATCCTCGAATTGCAAAAGCACTGGCGATAATCATTGTATTCTATGCGGTTTGCCACTGCTGCGAAACATCCAGCGGACATGCCGCCACGCACGTGTCAAGTTGGGCGCTACGCCGCTCTTTCTCTTCTTCGTCGTCCTCACACTTGCAGGCGGAATGTGTAGATGTGGATTTCACCGTAGTGACGCGTGCCGTCCGCCGCTACTGAGAGGAGACATTCGGCAGACGTGCTGCAAGCCGAAGCCTCAGCGCAAGCTTTGAGTTGTGTCCGACGCTGTTCGTCACTTTCCCTCATCGCCGCTACTTTGAGAAGGCGTCAATTGTCGTTGCGCAGCCGCGCGCCATCGCTGTGCAAGGTGTGGCAGGAATAATCGCAACGCCAAGTGTTCTGCGAGCGACGCCGCGCCTGATTTCTAGGACGCTATGCGTTGCAGACGCGTGCCAGTAGTCGTCGGGTGTGTGCCATACAGGGCGCGCGTTCCTTCGTGGATTCGTGTTTGACCATGTCCTGGTGCGCTTCAGGGTTTCCGCCAACGCGCTGCGCGACGGATCCTGCCGAGGCCCCTCATTCCCCCCCCCCGATATGCCCAGAGCCTGTGCGGAGAGCCCTCGCTGGAGTGGCAATTTGACCTGATGATGGCGTTCTGGCGCGTGTCCCGCATGCGGCAGACATCGTCTCAGTGCAGGGGCATCGGCTCGTTCTGACGGTCACGGGGTCCGAAAACGGCCCCCAGGGGCTGAAGATTAAGGGAGTCCGACAGTCGGGATTCTTGCCTGGAAATTGGACATTTGGGTTCTTAGCTCTTCCCCACCTCCCCGCAATCCTTCGCTGAAGATCCTGCGCTGTCGCCGCACGGCTCGGGACCCGGCCAGGGTACGTGTATATGCGGACAATGGGCCCCCTCACATCTTCGGTCCTCGTCCATCAGATCTTCTTCCTCTGGTACTCCTTGGTGATCATGGTGCGGATGGTATTGACGAGATGGATGTTGACGACGATGCTCATCGGTAGCGATGGCGACGATACTGACGACGACGATGATATTTACGACGACGACGATGATGATGCTGATGCCCTCCACGGAGTAGAGAATTGGCACCTTACGCGGGATCTACTTCACAGAGTTTAGACGTGGGAGCTCAAGTGGCTACTGCGGACGCTTCGCTTGCGCCGCAAACACGGGGAGACACGCGGAGTACTTACAGTGCACAGCCTTGAGAATCAAACAATGGATGACACGTTCCGGATATGCCCCTGCACGCGTAGCCACACTCAGATCGTATTTTCATGCGCGGCCTATCGCGAGCGAGCGTCTTGCATGGAGAACGGCACATCTCTACTCAGCTTGGCGAGGGAATACAATTCTAGGATCGAATGGGAGACTGCAAAGATTTTCCAGCCAAGCGGCGTCGTTTGGAAGGACTTCTACAACGCGGCGGTGGCCGTCGGGCGTTTTGGGAAGATCCGATAGTACACTGTATGGGAGAGAATTGGCGGCGTGACAGAGATGCTATGACATGGGCGGAGTGGAGGAGGCGATCAACGGGCCTTGTGGCAGAAGTGTGCGCACGCTGGCATCTCCCGCTTTGCGACGATGGTGACCGAGGTGGGCCTTCAGCCGCGGGATTGCACGCAGACCGCGGGGCCGAGGACGACAGGTTGATCTTCAGAAACTTGAAACCGGAGCCCGACGAGTTTGAAGACGTTGTTGTTCGTGTGGATTGGGCTTCCGAGAAGATGCAGATACTGTATGCGACGGACTCCAAAGCATTACAGGAAGTATTATGTAGTCACGCAAAATTGCGGGAAGAGGGGTATGAACCATTACTCACACGGTTACTGTGCCGGATCGTTGATCATATGGGCCGAGGGTGGCTTCCTCCATACATCAACCAGGACCCAGTTCAATGGTGGAGGCGGAGCTACAGCAAAGTAGCGGACGGCTTGGCCAACATAATAATGGATACCCGGCGAACGTGGACGAAAAGATACGCACACCAAATGTCCATACAGGAAGCCAACGTGGTGATCCAGACGGACGGGGGCCTCCGTGACGGTGATTGTGCCGCGGCTGCCTGGGTTATCGATCTGTGGGGAAAACCTGATGGTGGCCACCATTATCATTACGAGCCTGTCGTTGTGCACGGCGCGTTCATCCAGTTACCTTGCACGGCTTTCGGAGCAGAGGCTGTCGCATTGGACGAAGCGTCACGAGAAGTTGCCGTTCTACTTGTACAACTGAGGCGAACGGCTGGCATTTAGGTGTCTTGAGACCGTCATGAACAGAACAGAACAGATGCTGATGCTGCTGCGGATGCTGATGATGCTAATGATGATGATGTTGCTGCTGCTGATGATGCTGTTGATGATGATAATTATGTTGCTGCTGACGACGATGATTTGAGCGACCGAGAGGTGGAGCGGAAGAAGGGGAACATGATGACGAGAGGGGCGGCGACGATTGTATTGCCGATGCTGACGACCCTGGTGACGATGGTGTTTGTGGTGGTGGTGGTGATGTTGAGGATGATGATTATGTGCTGACGGAGGTCATGAGGATGTTCATTACGATCATGGCGATCATGTCTAATGATGATGATGAGAGGGCGAGGGAAAGAGAGGAATATATGGATAACGCTGGAAATATACCGATACCATACATAGAAGCCGTTTGGCGGTGCAACAAGAAACGAATACCGACAAATGCATCTCGGTACTGACGAGTCAAGTATCGGATACGGCCCACATATGTTGGGTGGATCCGCGCACCCTTAAACGGACCGTGAGTGTCGTAGCCCCTGCTGGGACCACGGATGCTACAGGTTTGCGATGGCCCTGCGCCTTTATGCGCTTCGTGGTTACCACCTTTGCACACTTGAAGCACGGAAGTGTACGAGGAATCGCGGTGTCATCGGCAAATTGCAGATGCTCAAAAAGATGAAGAGGGAAGAGAGGGCTTGGAAACGATTCTGAAGGACGAGGGGGAGGAGGACGAGTATGTTTCTAAATGGTGACGGCGTTGACGATGGCAACGGCTACGGCGACGGCGACGACGACGGTAACAACACTGATGACGATGACGATAACAATGCGATGGCGATGACGATGGCGATGGCGATGGCGATGACGATGGCGATGACGATGACGATGACGATTAAATTGATGACGACGATGATGATGATGATGGTGACGATGCTGATGCTGATGCTGATGATGATGATGCTGTTGATGCGGGTAATGATGATGATTCTGATGATGAGGATGATGTTGATGAGGATCCTGATGATATTTTTCATGCTGATGATGCTATCGATGATGCTGATGATGACGATTCTGCGGATGATGATGATATTGCTGATGGTGGCGACGATAAGGCTGATCATGATGATGCTGATAATAATGATGTTGATGATGATGATGCTGCTGATGATGATGATGATGGTGATGGTGGTTGTGGTGGAGACGATGATGCTGGTGGTGATGATGCTAATGATGCTGATGCTGATGGTGCTGCTGATGTTGGTAAGGGTGATGGTGATGGTGGTGATGATCATGCTGCTGCTGCTGATGATGATGATGATGATGATGATGATGATCATGCTTCTGATTATGCTGATGACGATGATGGTGGTGGTGTGGATGTTGATGATGATGGTGATATGAAGTTGTTGTTGATGATGCTGCTGATGCTGATGATTATGCTGATGAGATGGTCACGATGATGATGACGATGATGCTGCTGCTGCTGCTGCTGCTGATGATATTTTGGTTGTGGTTGTGGTTGCGGTTGCAGTTGCGGTTGTGGTTGTGGTTGTGGTTGTTGTTGTGGCTGTTGTTGTTGTTGTCGTCGTCGTCGTCGTTGTTGTTGTTGTTGTTGTTGTTGTTGTTGTTGTTGTTGTTGCTTTGAAGCTGCTGCTGATCCTGCTGATGATGATGTCGGTGGTGGTGGATGGTGGTGGGGTGGTGATGGTGATGATGACGATGACGGGGCTATTCTTATGATGATGCTGAGCGACGATGGCTGTGATAACGGGTGGTGGCGGTGATGAGGATGAGTTGGAAGAAGACGAGGATAAGAGGAGAGCACGAGGAGGAAGAAGAGGAGGAGGCTGAGATGATGAGGCAGGAGAGGAGAGGAGAGGAGAGGAGGGCGAGGAGGAGCAAGTTGCGGTGGCGGTAGGCAGGAATGTGGGGGTGGTCAGGACGCTACCGCCCGAGAGTGAAGATGGGCATCATCATTCTGGAGATGCCTACTCGCTCCCCGAGGCAGGGTTGCCCTCCCAGGCAGGCCTATGATGAGGATACAAGTCTCCTGGAGCTACTGGGAACGCTCTCGGAGCGTTCCAGATCGCTCTGGGGCGGCCGTGGCGCCCGATACGCCCTGCAGACCCGCCGGCTCTCAGGGATCTCCCGATTCGCCTCACCCGAAGTTGTCCTCAGCCTGCCTTCGTCTCGTCCTGTTCTCTCTTTGCCGCCAGGTAACAGGTGGCCAGTTCGTGAAGTGTCTTTGTTTCCAGCCGTGGGCTTCCCCAGACCACTTCTCGAACTTCCTCCGACTTTCCCTGCACTCCCCCCGGACTTCTCCCGACCTGCCCAGACTTCGGGGGCTGGGAAGGGATAAGAGCATCAATGGCGCACGCGTCGTTTCGCGAACTCCGACAGCAACGCGCTGACGGGGTCGTCCGACTGGTGTGACGCTGGTAGTGTTCCTGCTCTCCAAGGCGTCTCCCTCGGACCTTTCTGGACATCCCTGGGATGTCCTCGCGCAGCGAAGAATTTACGCCAACTGGCCAGCGGCAGGGCCCAGACCTCCAGGCGTCAGGATACGACAGTTTTTCTGGGTCCTCGGCGCCCAGGGGCCTGTTGCACTGGAGCTTCGTTCTCGCTGGTATTTGTCATGGGTGAGTGTGAGTGCGCGATTCGCAGCTTCAACATGGTTTCAGGATCTTCATGGCACATGCGCGTTTTAGGGTTGCACTCCGACGATGCACGCGTGATCCTTGGCCCTGATCTATTTTGGTAGGACATCTTCGGGAGTTGGGAGGAAACGACTGGCTCTCTTGAGGTCAGGCCTGTGGAGCCGTTCCCGAAAACCAGCCATAATGACGCGTTCGTGGGGCTAGGTGCCATTGCATTCGAGCTTCGGTAAGGCTCGCACCTTGATTGCTTCGCGCTTTGGGCTTCGGTGCCATTGCTTCATTGCTCTGGGCTATCCAGGACAAACGCGCGCACGGGGTGACAGGCTGTGACGCGGACGCTGATACGGCCCGCGTGGACGGGCAGGGCTAGAACGTTATCTATGTGGGGATGCACAAGAGAAGAGGAAGGAGGACGAGGAGGAGGAGGAACATGAGGAAAAGGAGGGATCGTAATCAGCATGGTGGTGGTGGGAGAAGGTGGAGTTGTTCCTCGTCCTCGCTTACTCTTAGATCCTGGGTACCCCACGTCGCCCTCGCTCTCGACACTCGATCCTGCCCCCCCCCAGGGCGGGCCCCGCGGGGACGGCGACAGTGACCAGTGCGCGGGCCTGCTGGCTTTGCTGGCGGCCGCTGGAGACGCGTGGCTGTCGTCCCGCTGTGGCGCCCCCCGGGGGGCATCTCCGACTTTCCTCGTCCTCTTCTTCGTCCTCGTCCTCCTTCTTCCTCCGTCTTCCTTCTCCTCGCCCTCGTCCACCTCGCCCTGCGTCTGCGTCCTTGCCTGCTTCCCTCCGCCGGCCATCGACATCGTCGTTTTCCCCCTCCTCCATTCTTATCCTCCTCCCTCCTCCTCCTCCTTTTCCTCCTCCTCCTCTTCCTCCTCCTCCTCTTCCTCCTCCTCCTCCTCCTCCTCCTCCTCCTCCTCCCTCTCCTCCTGCTCCTCCTCCTCCTCCGCCCCCTCCTTCCTTCTTTCCTCCTCGTCGTCCTCCCACAGGACGAGGGTCCTTCATGTCCAGGCCTCGCGGGAAACATATTTTGTTACTGCAGGCTTAGGAGGCTCGTTCCGAGCTTCAGGGCAGTCAGCAGAACGGCCTGGGATAGAAAAGCGGTTCCCATTGTGGGGTCCAGAGGCCTGGGGGCCCATGTTTGGGGTCCCATGTCGAGAAGAAGGCTCGAGAGTCGAGCATTGATTTTTCGGCAGTTTTTGTCGACAGTTTTCTGGGCCTCGGAAGGCCTGCCCAGATTTCTTTCGGCTCAGGCCGAATCTCGCTGCAGTCTTTTTTGTCAATTTGGTCCACCCTGGGGCCCCTTAGGGCAGGGCCATCTGATCCCGATAAAAGCAACAACCTGACAAAGGAGCACGGGGTTAGAGAATCTCCACAGTTCCGATGCAGTCGAGGAGGAGCTTTGATGAGATTCGAGGATTCAGTTGCCTAGGCGTTTCTGCATGTCTTGGCCTCCAAAGACTTCCGAGGCCCCCGGAGGCGTCCAGAGACTTTCGGATACCCTCTGGAGACCTCCGGAGACTTCTAGAGGCCTCCCTGGTCCGCCAGGGACCTCGCTTTGAGTTATCTCTGCTCGACCCGATTCGATTCCGACATTCCGACGTTCCAATGTGGCACCATGCGTGCATGGCGTTGCTGCTCGTCCTGGCGCCGCGGATCCGATTCGATTCCAACTCCGTGCCGATGCGCGTCGATCCGATCCGATCCGGCTTCCCGATGCGATGCGCATTGATCCTGCGTCGTCGTCGTCGTCGTCGTCGTCGTCGTCGTCGTCGTCGTCGTCGTCGTCCTTCTTTTCCTCCCTTCTCTGCTCCTACTCCTCCTCCTCCTTCTCCTCCTCCTCCTTTGTCTTCATTATCATCAGCATCAGCGGCAGATCATCATCATCATTATCATTATCATCATCGTCATCAGCATCACTGGCCTCATCATTATCACCATCATCTATCCATCGAAATCATCATTACCACAACCATTATCATCAGCATCACCATCATCATCACCGCCACCACCATCATCATCAGTATTGTCATCACCACCATCATCATCATCGTCATCATCATCATCAGCATCATCACCATCATCATCATCATCATCATCATCATCATCATCATCATCATCATCATCATCATCATCATCATCATCATCACCATCACCATCACCATCACCATCACCATCACCATCACTATCATCATCATCATCATCATCATCATCATCATCATCATCATCATCATCATCATCAGCATCAGCATTGGAGGAGGAAGAAGGAGATGTGGAGCCAGCTTCGTCGTCGTGTTTTTCTCTTGGGCGTGCTAGGCGAGGGCGGTGTGCCCTGCCGTTCGCTTGATGAATCTGGTGCTGCTCTCGCTGCTCATTGGGGACAGGTCTTTAAGCATGTTTCTGAAGATATGATTCTGTGGGATGAGGTTGCCCAGTTTATCCCGAAGATTGAGGATGTTAATGTTCAGCCGACCTTCTTCCTGGACCAAAGCAATTTTGAGGACCTTATGCTCGGCCGTAAAAAACACCGCTCCAAGGCCCGATGGTATCCCGTATTCGTGTTGTAGTACCCCACCTGCATTGCAGATATTCTATGATGCATATACACACTTATACCACAATCATAGTGCTGATATGCCAGCCAGCCTGCGCGAGATGTTGCTCGTTTTTCTCCCGAAGGGTACGAGCCCGTCGGACTCGGCCTCGGGAGCCGTCCGGGCACCGGCGGCCACACGCCCGCTGGCGCTCTCCGACACGGATTGCAAGTGTCTGTCGCTCGACATGTCTATGCCGCTCTGCTCTGTTGCTGCTGTAACGGTCCTGGACAATCAGAAAGGTGGGATCCGTGGGAGGGATATGTTGACAAACGTTGTGGTGGCAGTGGCTTGGGGGATGGAGCAATGGGGGACTGGTAGTAAGCATGCTGTCGAGCTCCTGACCGATTTCTCGGCCGCGTTCCCGCCGGTCTTCATCAGCTGGATTGTTTTTGTTTTAACTCGTATGGGGTTCCTTATTGCCATCATCGCGTTCTTCCAGGAGCTTTATCGTGAAAGTAAGGGGTGGGTCACTCTGGGAGGCCGTCGGATCGTTCAAATTATGATTGAACGTGGAGTGAGGCAAGGGGAACTCGCTTCAATGATACTGTGTGCGTTGTGTACTGACCCGATTATGCGTTGGCTGATCTGGAAGAGCGTCCACCATGTACACCGGATGCTAGCTTACGCGGATGACTGGTTCAGCATGATCCCTAACGTGCTTGCTGGGTTCCCTCGGGTACTAGTTCATATTTTTCCTGTCTTTGGCTTTTGTTTGGCCTTTTATCTGAATTTCCAAGCACTTGTGGTTCTCTTGGTAGGGGATACTAAGCTGAACATGTTTACTCGGCTCGTTGTGCTGTTGCGTCCGTTTTTTTTTTTTTTTTTTTTTTTTTTTTTTTTTTTTTTTTTTTTTTTTTTTTTTTTTTTTTTTTTTTTTTTTTTTTTTTTTTTTTTTTTTTTTTTCTTCACTTGTCGGGCACGGTTCGTGGCGTTTCTCTTCGCGTCTGCTGCAGCCCAGGGGTCAGTTTTCGCGCTGCCCCTCGTGCCGGTGTAGGTACCCTGCACCGGGGGAGGGCACAGGTTCCTTCGGGTTCCACATTGTGCCGTCGTTGGTCTCCTGGCCTTCGCCACACCGCCCTCCCCCAGGTCCTCGGCAGCAGGAGGGCCGCCCCCATGAGTTTTTTTTTTTTTTTTTTTTTTTTTTTTTTTTTTTTTTTTTTTTTTTTTTTTTTTTTTTTTTTTTTTTTTTTTTTTTTCCAATCGTGCGAAGCCGTGCCCGGTCTTTTTCTCGTTCGGTGTTGTTTTCTTCTTCCCTCCCTCCCCCCCCTCCCCCTCCTCCGCCTGCTTTTTCTTCGTGTTCTTGCCTGTCTTCCCTCTTTTCTGCCCCCTCTTTTTCCTCCTGTCGTCGTTGGGGGTTGGACCATTACTACCATCTCCCACCCCCTTCTGTCTCTGTCAATGTGAGTATCCCTCCGCGCATCCATTGCACGTTGTTGTGTGTGTACGCAGGGATCACGGCACTTTCCTCTTCTCGTCGCATTCGCCCGCCGCGAGCCCGTCAGGAAGGCTCTTGTGTCGGTCCGCTTCCGTTCCCGCTGCCCGGGAGCAATGGCGGCACGCAGGGCCGCGGTGGACGAGAGGTTCGCGGCGCTCGAGGCGAGAGCCACGTCGGTGGAGGGTGGGCTGCAACGCGTAAAGAGGGACCTGGGCGAGGTGCGCAAGAGCTGCCACGTCGTCCTTGAGGGGTTCGACAAGGTGGAGAACGCGTGGGCAGAACGCGCGCCGAGCCAGTTGTGGAGGGAGCTCCGCCTGGCAGCGCCGAAGGCGGTGGGCGAGGACCTCTGTGAGGCCCTCCAGGTGCCGTGGCCGCTGCCGCAGGAAGACTCCCAGGAGTTCCAGGCGCTGGGCGACACGGGGCGGGCTATCTCCCAGATATTCAGCGGCCTGGCCGGCGCGGACGTGCTGGCGCACGTCTTCGACCGCAAAAACTGCGGCAAGGGCAAATGAAAGAAGGGTGCCAAGGGGCAGGGTAAGGGCAAGGCCCAGGGCAAAGCGCCCGCCGCGCCCGCGGCCGAGCCCGCCGCCAGCGCCCCGGCGTCCTCTGTGGCCCCAGCGCCGGCGGCAGCCCCGTCCGCAGTGGCGCGGGCCAAAGCCGCCGCTGACGCGGTGGCCGCGGTCCACGCCAAGGCCGCCCCAGCTGCTCACGGAGCAGCGGCCGCCGGCAGCGCCGACCCCCCCCCCCTCGGGGGCGGGGGCGGTGGTGGCCTGAGCGCCCGCCTCACCGGCGTCGCATTATATTATGAGGGGGCCTCGCCACGCCCCCGGCGGCGCCGCAGCGGAACGTGGTGGGATTGGTTTTACAGGCTGATGCTTAGTTTCGCCCGCCCCCCTTCCCCCCCCCTTCCCTCCCCCTGTCGCCTGCCCCCTCCCTCCGCTCCCCTCCCGGCCCCTGCCCCCGGCGGGCGTTCGAGGTTGCCGTGGCGACGAAGACGCTCGCGGGTGTCGGGCCCTGGTGGGTGCGTGGGCTCGCGGGTGCATTCGCCCCTTCAGTTCCTCCTTCGCCCGTCCTTCCCCTCCGGCCCCTCCCTGCTCCTCCCCTCGGCGGGCGTTCGAGGTTGCTGTGGCGGCGATGACGCTCGTGGGTGTCTGACCCTTGCGGGTGCGGGAGTTCGCGGGCGCGCTCGTCCCCTCGGCTCCTCCTTCGTCCGTCCCCCCCCCCCCCCCCTCCGCCCTCTTGCCCCTCCCCTGCCCCCCCCTCTTTCCGCCCCTCCCCCCCTGGCTCCTCTTGGCCCTCCCCCCCCTCCCTCCCGCCCCTCCCCCACCGCTGCGGGCCTCGCTTTGTCCATCCTCCCTCGTCTACCAAGGCATTTTCTTTTCCAGGCCCCTGCTACTACGGGGCCCTCTCCCGCCCGCCGTTCGACGGAGACTCGGCGGAGGACGATGGCGAGGACGGGGATCTAGGTGAGCCTTGCGCGTTGCTGCAGGTAACCCGCTTCGCTAAGTACCTTGGCATCGTCATTGGTCCCGAGGCTTATAAACATGCTTGGGACGAGGTCCTGCCTGCATTTACTGCCAGATATCGTGCCATTCGCCAGCAAGTTTTCGGTCTCCCCCTGTCTATCTCATCTAACCAATGTCTTGCACTCTCTAAGCTCAAGTTCGCACTGCAATACTATCCTCCGTCACCTCCGTTGATGGCCGCGAGTGATCGTGCCATGCAGTTGCTGAATGCCGCTCCGCGTCGCAGCTTCTCCAAGCGCATGCCCATGGGGCTTCGCAGTCTGGGCATTAGCATTGAGTTCCCGAAGTTATCCGTCCTTGCCGGTGCCAGCCTGCTTCGGTTGCTCGCTAAGTGCCCTGCTCTATAGCCAGCTCTCACTCGTCTGCAGGAGGTACGGTCCAGTAATGGAATGTGTTTTGCTCGTGGGATGATGGGGTGGTGGAAGCATGGGTTCCTCTCGTCCATCCTGCAGACAACCACTGTGTATGCATCGGTCTTCACCCTGCTGCCGCGCGCTATCGACCGTAAGGGTATCCAGAAATTTTCTATAGGCGGCTGAAGCTTGCTATCCCGACCCCGTTCGAGCACTGCCCGCAGTCTTGGTCTCTTGCAAAGGTTGTGTCCACGGCGCCATGGTATCGAACCCGCACGCGTTGAGCAGCTCATTAACTGTGTCGAGTATTTTTTCAAACAAATCACAAGCGTAGAGTGGTGTGTCTATATTGCGTATTGCATGTCGTGGCATGTGTACTACTTCGCGGTTTCATTGTGCACCGCGTGGTTGTGTATTCGGCTGTTTTCGACCAGCGTCGGGAGTTGACTTAGATGCGTTGAAGCGTTACAAGGCCTGCCAGAGTCTCTACAATCTCTTGGTTTCTCATTTCGGCTCATTCCCCGCAGACATCCGGTGATTGGTTTTCTGAGTTTACCCTTGCTGCTCCTACCCTCTCTCCTGCTGCGCTGCTTCGATGTGCAAGTTGTTGCGACGCTTTTGTGCGTGCGCACACGAGTGTGCGGCTGGGCAGTAGAGCGATTGTCCAGTAAGCGTTTCGTGCTAGGCTCCGTCTGCGTCCGAGAAGGCACCCCGCCATTCGAGTGGCCTGGAGCGAGGTCATATCAAACCATCGCCAACACGCTGGGGGGGAGCGGGCCCTGAAAAAAAAAGAATACAAAAACGAATCATCCGCATCATCACCATCAGCATCCTCGCCTTCATCATCATCTTCATCATCATTTGTCACAATCACCACTATCACCATCATCATCATTATCATCCTCATCATCGTCAGCAGCATCAGCATCATCATCAGCGTCATCGTCATCATCATCATCATCAGCGTCACTTTCATCATTGTCGGCGTCGTCATCGTCATAAACGGCATCGTCATCGTCGTCGTCATCGCCATCGCCACCGCCCCGTCGCCATCGCCGTCGCCATCGCCATCACCAGCATCACCGCCATCGTCATCGTCATCGTCATCTTCCATGTAATTGCATCGTTATCGTCATCTACATGATCGTCAGCAGGAGCCGCAGAAACATCACCACCACACCACTATCATCATCATCATCATCATCATCGTCCTCAACATCGTCATCATGATCATCATAATCGCCGTCGTCTTTATCATCACCGTCACCACCGTAATCACCATCATCACCAGCATCATCGCCATCACCATTTTAATCATCATCCGTAGCATCAACACCGTTTCCTTTAGGTCCATCTTCTGCTCCTCTTTCTTGCTCATTCTTCATATTCGTCTTGTTAGTGCTGCTATAATTTGTCATCTCCTTGTTCTTCGTCTTCTTTTTATGCTGCTCCTTCTCGATCCTCGTCTTCATCTTCTTCCCCTCCCCCTCCCCCTCCCCCTCCTCTGCAGGCTGGCTCCTCGGCCCCTCGCCGCCTGCGCCATGCTTGGCTGTCCTGGAGGCGCTCGGCGAAAGGCCGTGGGGCCCAGACGCCCCGCCCTCAGACGCCCGCCCGCGGGCAGGAGGAAAAGGATGATGATGAGGAGGGGGAGGAGGACGACGATAAGGAGGGGAATGGGGGGTGTGAGGAGGGGGGGGAGGAGGAGGAGGAGGAGGAGGAGGAGGAGGAGGAGGAGGAGGAGGAGGAGGAGGAGGAGGAGGAGGAGGAGGAGGAGGAGGAGGAGGAGGAGGAGGAGGAGGAGAGGAGGAGGAGGAGGAGGAGGAGGAGGAGGAGGAGGAGGAGGAGGAGGAGGAGGAGGAGGAGGAGAGGAGGAGGAGGAGGAGGAGGAGGAGGAGGAGGAGGAGGGAGGAGGAGGAGGAGGAGGAGGAGGAGGAGGAGGAGGAGGAGGAGGAGGAGGAGGAGGAGGAGGAGGAGGAGGAGGAGGAGGAGGAGGAGGAGGAGGAGGAGGAGGAGGGGGGGAGGAGCATGATGATGAAGGAAAATGAAGGAGGACGAGGGAGGAGCAGGTGCGAGGAGGAGAGGGAGGACGAGGAGGAGGAGGAGGAGGGAGAGGAGGAGGAGGAGGAGGAGGAGGAGGAGGAGGAGGAGGAGGAGGAGGAGGAGGAGGAGGAGAAAGAGGAGGAAGAGGAGGATTGATGAGAAGGAGGGATGAGGGATGATGATGAGGGATGATGATGAGGAATGTTGATGAGGGATGATGATGAGGGATGGTGATGATGTTGATGATGTGGATGATGACGATGAGGATGATGATATGGACGGTTCTGATGATGTTGCTGTTGCTGATAACGATGATGGTGATGGTGCTGATGATGAATCTGATGATGATGATGATGATGATGATGATGATGATGATGATGATGATGATGATGATGATGACGATGCTGGTGATGATGGATGAAGATGGTTATGAAAGAATGAGGTGGTTGATGAGGATGATGATGATGATGATGATGAGGAGGATGCAGGATGTGGGAGGAGGGAGCAGGATGATGACCATTGTAAAGCCCAAGGCGCATCAACGATGTTCATATTCTCTCTCTTCTAAGCTCCTTTTGTACAGGTAAGGAAGTTATTGCGAAGGCCTTACGGCTGGTGCCGCCGACCCTGACGGGGGACGACGACCACGATAATGGTGGTGGTGGCGACGACGACGACGCTGACGTGGACCAGAGTCTTCAGGGATGCTTCTTGGGATCTCTTCGGAAGGCTCTCAGGTGCCTGTGGGGAGGATTGCCTCTTGGGAGCCTTTGTGGGGCCTCTTGGGAGCCTCCTGGGGGCCTCTTCGGGCTTCCTGGGGATCTTTTGTAGGCCTCTTGGGCCCGCTCTCGACCCGCCGACCAAAAAGTGGGCCTCTTGGGGCCTCATCGGATCCGTCCTCGAGCCTCGATCCAAGTCCAAGCAAGGCTTAGCGCCGACGAGGATCGAGGATCCTGTTTCCTCACGGGTTACGGACCTTGGACCGTCCTGGGCCCTCGATCCTCGATCTTGGAGCTCCGATCTCCGCTGGCCGATCGATGATCCTGGATCCCCGTCGATCAAGGATGCTCGAGCCTTTCTCCTCGTCGACGCCTGGCCCGCGGGCCCGCGGTCGATCGGCCTGGTCCGGGAGCCTCGGCCCCGTCCCGAGGCCTTTGCCGCAGGCTGCCGGGAACTGCTGCGGTCGCCGCCCGCCAGGCCACGTGCCGCGGCGGGCCTCTTCCTCCTCAAGCTCGTTTGCACGTCGATGGACTTCGGGAGGACCGGCACGCACGAGGTTCGAGTTTGTCGGGCGTCTTGGTTTGAACCCGTCGGGTTTCCAGCCTCGGGATGCGTTTCGGCAGCTGCGCCTCGCCGAAGGCGTTCCAGGGGTGCCTGGATCGCCCCGAACGGCCGCCAGAGAGCCGAGTTATGACCCGAAAGCCAGGCGGCAACGACAGGGGGGCGCAGCCAGGGCCCTGCTCAAGCGTCGATGTCCGGATCTATGAGTGCACAATTTGTTGCCACAGGGAGCTCCAGTGGCATGGTTTTCCCCTGATGTACAGGAAACTGATTGGCATCGACGCGGGCTCGGCGCCATGCGGCATGGACATGCGCGAAACCACGGCGTTTTCGTGGTCAGATGCAAATCTGGATCCGGCTAAGCACGGTACGGTTCGTGCCGCGTCGGCGCGGCGGCGACCACGGTGCGAGCGTTCACGGTTGACCGCCGCCAGTGGCCTGCAGGCGGCCGATGTCGTACGATCCACGTCATTGGAAAACCGCGATCGCTCAAGGTTGAACCATCCCTGCGGTGTCCAGAGCCGGCGTCATCGCGACGTGAAGCTGCCGCACACGAGCCGAGAGTATAGTGCACGAACTTGGCCATACCGCCAGCCAGTCGCACACAAACACGCTTTTCGCCTTTCCCCACCAGAGCACATGCAATACCCGCGTACGCGATCCTGGGAAAAGGGAAGACGCGTGGTCATGCCCCGCGTGGGCGATGTGACTCGGCAGGCACACAGGAGTGCAAACGACTTCGGCGCATGGGTGGCAGTGGTGTTGAGGAAGAGCTGGCAAAGAAACGCAGCCCTGCAAGGAACGGGGCATATCAGAGACTCGACGGAGGTGTGGACATCGACCCGACGTCCCCCCTTCAACGACCCGAACGAGCCTGGGCCGCAGCACGCTGACGAAGACCTCCATGGTCTGGGGTCGCCCCCCGCCCGCTCCTCCTTTCCGCGGCTGCCGTGCCTCCGCTTCTGCCCGCCTCGTGCAGTGCTGCACTCGCTGTCCAGCGCCGCTGGGCCGCTCGACCGAGCGTCGTCGCGACACGAGCCTGCCGTTGTTGCAGGGGCGGTGATGCCTGGGCCTGGGAGGTCTCGCGGGTGGCCCGCAGGGGTGCGCGAGGGCAGCCGCGCCTCCATGGCGCCGGCGGAGGAGTGTGGATGGGAGGGGTCCTCGATCCACACTCCTCCACCCCGATCGGATCGGGGGTTCGGGCAAACCGCCCGAACCCCGATCCGGTCGGGGTTCGGGCCGCTCGTGGGCCAGGGTCAGGGGCACCCTCGGGGCGGGAGGTTGGAGGCTGTCGCACGCTTCTGTTGGTGCCTGGCGGCTCTCCCGCGCCCGGATGCCTTTCAGCGGCTGCTCTTCGCCGAGAGCGTTCCGGGGCTGCTCGGATCGTCCCGAGCGGCCGCCGGAGAGCCGAGTCATGACCCGAAAGCCGGGGGCAGCGTCGGGGGGAGTGGCTCGGGGGGGGATGTGTCGACCCCCAAATCGCCCACTCATCGCCGAGAGCGGCCCAACGGCCCCCGCCGCCCAAGAGCGTGCGGTTTCGCCATCGGAGGCCCATCGCCGACGTATCACCGATGCGTCGCCGACTCCAGCTCGAATGCTTCCCCCGCCTCTGCCAGGTAACTGGCCTCCCCCACCTGACGTGCCCCTCACAGGATGGAGGATCGAGGACCGATGATTGAGGATTGGGGATCGAGCTTCGAGGATTGAGCATCGAGTATCGAACATTTCGCATTGGGGTTCAGGGATTTCGGGTGTTTCTTTCGTGGCCGCGGCTGGTGCGCGGACGTGCGCACCTCTCGCGCTTCGCGCGGGGCGGAACGCGAAGGTGGGTGAGCTGGGTCGCCGCCGACTCCATCGGATGAGGAGGAGGAGGAGGAGGAGGAGGAGGAGGAGGAGGAGGAGGAGGAGGAGGAGGAGGAGGAGGAGGAGGAGGAGGAGGAGTCCTGCCCCCTCTCTCTTTCGCCCTCCTGCTCCCTCCTCCCTCCTTCTGTTCCCTCCTCCCTCCTCCCTTCTCCCTCCTACTCCTCCCTCGTCCTCCTCATCCTCATCGCTCCTCCCTCCTGCTCTGGGCTGCACAAGCGTGGATGGCAAGATTATCAGGTGCCGCCTCTTCACGGACCGCGAGGTGGGGATCGCTTCTGCTTTTGATTACCTTCAGGTGGCGCTCGTTGGGCTCCAAGGGGCACGCCTGGCTCGGGGGGTCAAGGTCCCGCAGCTGCCATGGATGGGCATCATTGCGAGAGGGGTTTCCCTCGTACGCCTCAGCAGCTGTGGTTTGGGACAAGAGGCAGCTCCCCGAGCTCAGGGAGTTGGGCGCCGTTGGATCAGACAGGCGGCACCGTGATGCTGGCGGCGTGGCGTGGTTCATGTGCACCCTCTACCTGTCCCCTTGCCTAAGTCAGGCTGTGATGAAGAATGGCCCGCAGAACTGGAGGGGCTCTGGGAGGACGTCAAGGATGTTAGCGGAGCGAGCCCCCTCATGGGAGACATGAATTTGCAACTGGCGGTTCTGGGAGGTGACAGGGAGACTGTCAGGGCGCGTGATCGGTGTTGGGCCGCTCTCCTGGAGGACTGGGGTCTTGCGCGCCTCAACCTCCGAGTGCGCCAGGGCCCGCGGACAGAGGTCTGGCTGCCTCGTCGGAGCAAAGCAGTCTTCCTTCGCCCGGGGGACACGCACCATGGCCATGGCGGCACCCCGAGGTGCATTGTTGTGGTAGTGGCGTCCCCCTCGGCAGTGGGCCCAGCGGTCGTGCACAACGGGCTGCCTTGTTCCTCGGAGGTGCCCTGTCGGTGGCGGGGGTGCGTCGACTACGCGTGGGGGGACCATGTCTTCATCGAGGTGCACGTCCCCGCTAGCAGTGCACTCAGGCCGCAGATTACGGGGTGCGCTGCGGATGACCCAGTTGTGGCTGGATGAGCCCGCCTGGGCAGCCGGGCTAGCGTCGTCGGTGAGTGCAGTCCGGTGTTTGAAGGCCTCCTTCGGTTCGTTTGCGCGGGGCGAGGGCGAGGGCGCTATGGGGCCAAGCTGCATCGGGCAGCGGCGCAGTGGCTTTGCGATGCCCCGGCGTGGCTGCTCTGCATCATCCTGGCTCTCGCATGACGGGGTGGGCCGACGCAAGTTCCCGCCACCGCCGGGGGAAGAGCACGGGGGGCCAGGCGAGGCAACGCCCGCTGGGCAACCAGGTTCGGGCAGCTCTGGAGGAGGGGGGTGCGCCCGCGGATCATGCTCGTGGCGGACCCCAGCTGCCTAGCCATGCGGCCGCGGGGAAGGAGGAGCCTGTGCGCCGTGCTCCTCCAGAAGGCAGGCCCCCCAGTGCACGGGGGGAGCTTCCTGCCAATTATGGTCCAGACGCAGTTTTGCTTGCCCCAGGAGACCATCCTGTGCTAGCGGGCGAGGGCAAAGGTGCAGTCATCGGTCCTCCCTGGCCACAGTGACTATGTGCGGCACGTCGGGGGCGCCCTTCCCCACTTGCGCGAGCTGGCGTCGCAGGCGGTGGATCAGGGTGGGGTTGAAGATGCCGAGGGCGTGACGGGGCAGAGTGGAAATGCACCGACCTCCCCAGGGGCGACACTGGACTCCCTGCAGCGCGCCAGCCGCGAGGGGCACGATCTTCCGTCCGATGCGGCGCTCTTGGCTGACCAGGACTTCGAAGCCTCCGCCCTCCTTTCCATGGGCTCGGCGCCTGCGCGGCTGGCGTCCATGGTGCACGCGGACAACCCCGTCCTTCTGGGATTCTCGGGTGGTTCGGCTTAAGCGGCGGTGGAAGTATTGGCCTGGTGGGTCTTCGCAGAGAAGGCCAGCCCCGGCGCGAAGGCTTCCAAACGCGCAGTGCTCGTGCCGGTTGCCCCAAGAGCCCGCGCAGCTGCCTGGGCAGCGCGGCCGCTTGAGCTCCGGCTCCGAGGGGCGGAGCTTGTTCAGTTCTGTGTGGTCAGGTGCGCAGGTGGTTGGGTCTCCCGTGGCGGGGCGATCTGGATCTGCGTGCCACGTGCCGCTCGCGCCTGGCGGCGGCGGCGGCGGCTGCGGCCCATGTCGCCTCCCTGGCGGGCCAAGTGGCCAGCGACGCTGTGCCCCTGGCGGTGTTGGCGAACATCTTCGACATGAAGATCGAAGGGGGCCACCGCTTTGGGCGTTGGCTCTGTGTCGTCGCGGGGGGATGCGCGACGGCCGCGGTTGAGGCGTACCGCAGTTGAGCCAGGGCTTTCCTGGCCCACCCCTGGCGTTTCAACGGCAGAGGCGGGACTGGGCTGGGTCCTCCGCGGTGCGGAGTGGGGGCGTGGTCGATGTGGCACGTCGGCGTGCAGGGTTCTGGGCCCTTCTGGAAGGCGATCTTTACTGGTCGGTCTTGCTGGCGGCCCGCGCGACCCAAGGGCTGTCAAGGGCAAGTCAGTCCGAGAGGCTGCTCGCGGATTGGGGCGCGGAGGGCTGGGCGGCCTGGCCAACCCAGGGTGGCAGGGCAAGGCGTGCGTGGCGGCCGTCCAGCAGGCCAGGGCGAGGAATTATGACCGCCCTGTCCCCGTGCTATCCTTGTGCGAGGGTCCGGTGAGGGATCTGGCGGCTGTTCTCCAGGGCGTGTGCAGCTGGGATGTGCTGCAGTGCATGCGGCCCCTCAGCCGCTGGCGGGTCAGCCTCATCGTCCTGGGGCGCGTGGGCGGGCGCAGGTCGTGGGCGCCCGTGCAGCGGGTGTCCGGGGACAGAGGAGGGCAGAGTCGCATTCTGGGCCGCGCGGGCGCAGCCGCCGCCAGTCTCCCGGGGGGCGTGTGCGCAGGCGCTGCTGTCTGCCAGGCCTGGGGAGGGAGGGTTCGCGAGGGCGGTTCCACTCGCGGCGGGCGCATAGACAGGCAGCGGGGAAGATTGTTGGTCGGGCGAGACTGAGCGTGTGCAGTTGCAGCCGCCGCCGTCACCGCCGTTTTTGTCAAGGGTTGATTGTGCTGGTTGATGGGCGCCGCCTACCCGCTTTCTTTCCGCCGAGTCCTCAGGTCGCAGCATGGTTCCCCTGCTGCCAGGGGAGACCCCGAAACCTTGGGCAGGAGTGAGTCCGCATCGGGGTTGTGCGGGCAGACCCCCGCCTGGGGTTCCGGGGGCTTCCCCGGGTGCCAGGGGGGGGCTCCGCAGTGCCCGCGGCCCCGCCCGATGCTCGCCCAAACCGCTACCACCACCTCCTCCCTGTCGCTCCTGCCTTCGCTTCCTCCCCCCTCTCCCCCTCTTCCCGCGTCCTTCTCCTAGTCCCTCCTCCCTCCTGCTCCCTGTTCCCTTCCTCTCCCTCCTCCTGTTCCCCTCCTCCTCTCCTCTTCGCTCCCCTCTCGTACTCCTCGTCCTTCTCCTTCCAAATTCCGCAAGCTGCTGACTTCATCGCCCAACAGTGGTCGGTCGGCCAGTCCACGTTGCTCCTGAATTGTCAAGACAAGCCAATGCTGGTTTCCATGGGTTGCCTTTCCAGGCTCAGTGCTTTCCGAAGCGCGCTTATGCGGGTGCTGTTCAGTTTTGTAGACCTTCCTCTCATCAGTGCGCTGTTTCTAAAGTGAAAGCTCACCAGACCGAGTCCGACAGCGAATCTGCTTTTGAGCGGTATTTGCGTGAAGGTGATCGTGCTGTCGCTCGGTCGGCTACGCTTGCTGTCGAGTGGCGTCCTGAGTTTGACCAGGGTCCGTTCGAACAAGTAAATGTGCAGTGTGAAATGTCGCTGGCTGTGATCAAGCTGGCTGCCCATATTTTGCCCCTGTGGCCTGAGCTTGACATGGGTCCCAGTGCTGCGGGTGTGAGGCCCCCTCCGCGTGCCGAAGTCAATCGCGCCCCGAGGCCTTGCCACTCCTGGTTTTGGACGCGCCGTTTTTGGCAGTGTTTGCGCTGCTTCCGAGGTTGCGTTCGGTGGACAAGCCTGCCCAGGAGGTTTGCCGTGGGGGGTGGGCTTCGGGATTGAGGCCACGATGCTCCGAGGCTCTCGGCTCTGGGGCACACTATGCCCTATCTCGTCGCATCTGATGGTACCTTTGCTACAATGTGTTTAAGTTGCAAGTTTTACATCTGTGGTGGCCAGTTCCTCGGTCTGCGGAAAAGTTGTGCACCGCTCAAGGGCGCCAGCCCAAGGTGCCAGGCATCACCGTAGGCGTCGGCCCATGGGCTTTTCGGAGCATGAGGAGAGGCCCTCTTTGCCTCCCGTGCCCCCTCTCCCCCCGTCGGGGGGGGGCTCGGATGACGCTCGAGAGCTGCCTGCTTGACGCTTGACGCAGCCTCGGGTTCTGGTGCGAGAGGTTCAGCTCCTGTTCTGTGTGGTCACGAGCTGGTTCTGATCGAATCGCTCTGTTTATCCCCTCGCGGGCCTTGCCCTCCCGCTGGTGGTGCACGTGGGGTGCTGCGTGGGAAAAATCCTCCTCCTCATCCTCCTCTCCTCATCTCGTCCTCCTCCCTCTCCTCCACCTCCCCCTCCTCCCTCAAGCTGCCATCTGGGCCTAAGATATTGTCAGGGCAGCCCGGGCCGCCACCGTGCGATTCCTCGGACCGATCAGACAGAAGGGGCGGCGGCCCGCATGATAGCAGCACTCTCAGCTTCTCTCGCTGTGCTCCTCTTCTGCCGGGCCAAGCCCGACAGGCTCGCGGTGAGATACGAGGAGGACAACAATATCGACATCATCGTGGGGGCATCACGCAGGCGACGCGTCATTGCGCAGCGCCGCCGCGGCAGCGCAAGATACTGCGACGCGGGCTGGCAACCAAGGGGGGGGATCAACCGCAGCAGGGGCGCCATCATCGACATCCAGGAGCCGCAGCTCAGTGGAAGAGGGCTCGCGATCACCCCGCATCGCGACCAGACGCCGCTGATCATAGGATACTACAGACCGCCACAGTACTGCGCTAAGACGAGCAGAGGGTTCAACAGGATAGAAGAAACCAGAGGGCAGAAGCATTGTCGAGGGCGACCTCAACGATGGCAACGGCATCGCACAGAAAGGAGGGCGATCAGAAACACCAGCGCTCGAAGAAGGCGGATCGCCCGAACGACTACCAGGCGGAGCGGGACAGAAGGCTCGCACCTACGCCGACCGCCATTTCGGAGAAGAACGCGAGGTACAACATGAAACCGAGGAGCATGACCGAGAAGACGATATCTCAAGGACCCCCGCTAACGCGCTGCCGATCCAGACGAGACGTACCAGTGCAAGTGACCTTGCCACGACAACAAATACGACAGCGACCTCAGCAAACGAGACGGGGAAAGCACAGCCTCGCGCTCGCAGCTCGACACGGACGACACAGAGGAGAAGTCATCGAGAAGGTAGAGCAGAGGACAGCGGACCCAGCAGGAAAGGGGGTCGATCAGCTCTTCACGGACAACAACACCATCCTCGTAGAGACAGCGCAGAAGTACTACTGCCAGGCGCCGAAACTGACGGACTACCGCGAGAGGCTCACGAATTACAGCGAAAGGCTAACCGCACGCCAGCGGCCGAATCGTCGCCTCCCTCGTTTTTGCTCGGACGAGCTCGAACCTGGGGACCTTCCAGGGGCGGTCGTTGGCCCGCCCAGGTCCCAGGAAGAGACAGAGCTGGAGGGTAATCCACGCGCCGCAGACAAACAGCCGATCAGGGAGATGAGCGATAACGAGAGAAAGCCGCACGACATCACGAAGAAACGCCAACGGCAACGACGACGAGCACAACAACAACGCACATAGCAACGAGCCGAATAACTATCACGAGCAGGAGGGAGATACGAACCACGCAAGAGGGACTACTGGACGGTTACTACGGCAAGCTCCACGAAGCATGAATGGCTTTATTTTTGCATCCAGAGGTGGTCCAAGGGCTGCAACGACGAGATAGAGTACGACGAGTTAATGTATGGAAGAAGTAAACTGTTCCAACATCCAGTAAGCGTGGGGCTGACGAAGTACGCGGACGACATACGCAATATCATCTTGAACGGAAACCAGGCCAATCCCAAACTGCTCGCCGACCAGGCTCACAAGATAGACGACGCGCTGAACAGACGCCAGAGCGAGATCGGCCTGAAGAAAATCCAAGATAAGCAGGAAACGACAGTACACTTTCAGGAAGAAAGCGCCAGCCAGGCGCATCAACGAATCAAGAAGGACCCACAATGCAAACTTCCAGGCAAAGTGGTGGCGGCGGCTCGGTACCTGGGCCCTCAAGTAACATCGACGCAGAGCTACTACCCAGAGTTGCAGAAGCGTATCCAGGCCATGAAGAAGAGCTACTACGAGTGCGGCAGGTTCTGGACCAAGCGAGAGATACCCAACAAGTGGAAGCTCGCGGTCCTCATACGCAGGGTCGTCAACACGGGGCTTTCGTGCATCGAGTGCTACTTGCCCACGCCCAACGAGTGCCAGATGCTCCAGAGCGCGATGGGCGCCCTCCTACGATCAACGAGTGCATCACTTACTACCAGAGCTTCACGAGCCGAAGAACAACGCAAGCTACAACTACGCGTCCACCATGAAGGACATGTACAATGCGCTCGCCAGCTGCAAGTGACCGACACGGACACGACCAACGGCAACGTCACGCAGGATAATTGGGACCACGGAGAACAACGATACCACAGGGCGACGTTCAACATCGAGCGCAGAGACAGCCTGGAAACACCTGGCCAGGAGCTGGGAGAACAAGTGGACGCGGCCTCGCTCGACAGCCCCCACACCCGCGTGAGGGTCGAAATGGCAAACTACACGGGGCGCATGTGCGACGCAGGAGCGGAGCGCGACTACCTCGAGAAACACTACAAGGACGTCATCGGGTGGCAGGGCAGAGAAGATAGCAGACAGCATCCCAATCTTCTTCGCACGCAAGAACAAGGGCAAAGGAGGGGGCATCACGGATAAGTGCAGGCTTCAGTTCCAGGCGAAGTCAACGGACACGCAGCTGGAGACGAGCCGCGAGATCGGGGCGGCGCCGCACGGAGAACGAGACACGGATAGAGGAGCAGCACAATATGATGTGATTGAGCGGACGGCGCGGTTCTGTCCTGCCCCAGCGAGCGCGGCCCCTCAGGCCACCCCATTTTTACGCACCAGCGCACGATTCCACGAGCTGGTCAGCGAAGGACGCCCTCCTCCTCCGCCTCCGATCGTGTCCTCCTCCTCCTACTCCGAGGCCCGAGCTTCCCTGACTAATTCGTCGTGCACCGACTCCCCCGCCCCCACCTGAAGGGCAGAGAAGACGGGGCAGTAGAGGAACCAGCGAGAGGGCACCCGATAGCGGGTGCTACCCTGCCCGCGGACCCCCTGCGTGGGGGAGGACGGTGCAGGTAGGGCCCGAGCGCTTCAGTGGCGCCCGCGACCCCCTTTCAGAAAAGCGACCTCAGCTAGGTCACACAGCTCTATTAAGCAGCACAGCGCGCAGCGACAGTGCAGCACCGAACCGGCCCGAGAGCTCGATCGATCGATCCTCCTCCCTCATACCTCATACCTTCTGCCTCATCCCTCCTCCCTCCTCCCTTCTCCCTCCTCGCTCCGCCCTCCGCCCTCCTGCTTCTTCCCCCCTCCTTCCTCCTCCCTCCTCCCCCCCCTCCGTGTTCCTCCAGCGGCACCGCGGGTCCCGTGGTCGCGGGTGCACAGTGACCAGGAGCTTGCAGGGTTCCCTATCCGTCAAGCAGGACGGTTCTCCCCAGGCGTAGCGGGGTGTCCGAAACAGTGGCCTCCTCTTCCTCCTCCTCCTCCTCCTCCTCCTCCTCCTCCTCCTCCTCCTCCCCCTGCGTCGAGAGGCTCCTGGTGCGCGGCAGCCGCCGCCCGGCCGGAGGCTTCCCGGCCGTGGCGGCGCTCCAGGGCGCCGCTTCGGCCGCGTCGGCCGCTGATCGGACAGCGGCCTCTCTCGTGTAGAAGAGAAGCGAAGGAGGGGAGTGATGATGATGATGATGATGATGATGATGATGATGATGATGATGATGATGATGATGATGCTGATGATGCTGATGATGCTGATGGTGCTGATGAGGATGATGCTAGAGCTGCTGCTGATGATGGTGATGCTGCAGATGCTGATGCTGATGCAGATGCAGCTGCTGCTGCTGATGATGGTGGTGAGATGGTGGTGGTGCTGCTGCTGAGAGGATGATGATGACGATGATAATGGTGTCGATGATGTCGATGATGATGATTCTGCTTCTGCTTCTGCTGATGATGATGATGATAATGATGGTGGTGATGACGATGACTATGACGATGACGTTGACGATGACGCTGACGACGACTATGATGGTAGTAATGATGATGATGATGATGATGATGATGATGATGATGATGATGATGATGATGATGATGATGGTGATGATGATTATGATTGATAATGACGACGATGATGATTATGATGATGATGATGATGATGATGATGATGATGATGACGATGATGATGATGATGATGATGATGATGATGATGATGATGATGATGATGATGATGATGATGATGATGATGATGATGATGATGATGATGATGATGATGATGATGATGATGATGATGATGACGATGATGATGATGATGATGATGATGATGATGATGATGATGATGATGATGATGATGATGATGATGATGATGATGATGATGATGATGATGATGATGATGATGATGATGATGATGATGATGATGATGATGATGATGATGATGATGATGATGATGATGATGATGATGATGATGATGATGATGATGATGGTGATGGTGACGGTAATGGTGATGGCGATGGTGATTGCTGCTGTTGGCATTACAGCCGGGATGTGTCCCAGAGGCCAGAACCTCTGACTTGTCGAAAATGAACGAGAGCACCGGCGCTTTCGCCAGGCTGTGCCCAGAAAGCGCTTGCCATGTAGGTGGGGTCGTTGCGCAGGACCGCCCTCACTGCCGCCGAGCTGTGTCCCCGAAAACCTGGTGCCCCTGATAATGAACCCCTGGGGATAATAATGTTCTCCAGAAGGAATTCGCCGCCCCAGCGACACGCTTGGCACGCCGCCCCAGCGACAGACTAGGCAAAACGCAGCCCCAGCGACACGCTTCAGCCCACACTCAGAGGAAAATGGGGGGAAACTTCCTTATCCGGGGCTCTCGGTTGACAGAGTTCCCCACGGAGCGAATGAAGGAAAGGCCTTTGGCAATTCCGCCAGTCTGTATCCAATAGGCTCTGGTCTCGTAGATGGAGTAAGCGTGCAGGACGGCAGGTCTTGCCGCCGGGCTATGTCCCGGAGGTAGACCATCCGACGAATCATCTGCGCAGGACTGCTGGCCTTGCCGCTTGGACGAACCTTGGTAACGGACCGACGTGAAAGGTTGCAGGACCGCTGGCCTTGCCGCCGGGCAACGTGTTTGAGGCGTCTGCCTCGCGACTGGGGCAGGCGTGCAGACTCAGCAGATGCACGCAAAACAGGCGTGACCGCCAGGCAGTGCCCGCAGGAAACGAAGTGCGAGGACCATGCAGAAGTGAGCGTGCAGGATTGCCGGCCTTGCCGCCAGGTTGTGTCCTTGAGGCAACAGTTTCGCGACGGAGTTAGGCGTAACGGTCCGACGTGGAAGGGTGCAGGACCGCTGGCCTTGCCGCCGGGCAACGTCTTCGAGGCGTCTGTCTCGCGACGGGGGCAGGCGTGCAGACTCAGCTGATGCACGCAAACTGGCGTGACCGCCTGGCAGTGCCCGCAGGAAGCGAGGCGCGAGGACCAGGGATAATAGATCGTGCAGGACTGCCGGCCTTGCCGCCAGGTTGTGTCCTTGAGGCAACAGTCTCGCGACGGGGGTAGGCGTGCATAATCTGCGGACGCACGATGGCTGGCATTGCCGCCAGCCAGCGTTTCAAAAAGGACGAACCTTGGTAACGGTCCGACGTGGAAGGGTGCAGGACCGCTGGCCTTGCCGCCGGGCAACGTCCTCGAGGCGTCTGTCCTCCGACGGGGGCAGGTGTGCAGACTCAGTAGATGCACGCAAACTTGCGTGACCGCCAGGCAGTGCCCGCAGGAAACGTGGCGCGAGGAGCAGGGATAATTGAGTGTGCAAAACCGCTGGCCTTGCCGCCAGGTTGTGTCCTTGAGGTAACAGCCTCGCGACAGGGGTAGGTGTGCACAATCTGCGGACGCACGATGGCCGGCACTGCCGCAAGCCAGCGTCTCAAAGAGGACGAACCTTGGTAACGGTCCGACGCGAGAGTGTGCAGGGCCGCTGGCCTTGCCGCCAGGCAAGGTCCTGGAGGCATTTGCCTCGCGACGTGGGCAGGTGTGCAGACTCAGTAGATGTACGCAAACTGTCGTTGCCGCCAGGCGAGGTGCGAGAACCAGGGATAATTGAGTGTGCAGGACCGCCAGCCTTGCCGCCGTGCTGTGTCCTGGAGGCGAGTGCCTCGCGACGAAGGCAAACGCGCAAAATCTGCGGATGCACGATCGCGGGAATTGCCGCCCTTGCCTCAGCCACTGGGGGCGGGTGCCCGTGACTGTCCATCGACACGGATGGGCATCCAGGCCCGTGCGGCCTTGCCTCCCTGGGGAAAGCCGTGCCTGCCCTGAGTGTGAGGGCGAAATGTCCTAGGCCACCGGCCATTCACTGGATAAGGGGCTACCCATGGGTGCTCCTCGAGGTCAAGGACCTCGTAGAGGCGCCCCGTGCGTCCCCTGGACCTTTCCCCATACCCAATATCGAATGGCGTCGGCACGGGGAGGAGAAGGAGGAGGAGGAGGAGGAGGAGGTGGAACATTCTAGCACGCCCCAACATGCCGAAGGCATGGCGGCAGACAAAAATGCAACATGAGCGATCGAGCTAGGCAGCAAGACAAAGGATGAACGTGGGAGAATTTGTCATTCATCGATCAGCCAGTGGATCGAATCAACACACGCAACCACACGCATTGTCGCAGGGCCAACTCAAGACACACGTACACAACGCAGCGTATCTATCGGACAAAGAAGGAGGTAATTCCCGCCTTGCCAGCAAGCGCGTGAATTCAACAGCCGCAATCATGCTGACACAGGGAAAGCCCGCATTGCCACAACGACCACGGCCAATGCAACAACACAAGTACGATGGGGCTCCACAACCTCTTATTCTTCTGTCTCTGTCTCGAGAGCTGGCGCAGCGCGCCCCTGAAAAAAGTGCTGACGCTCTGACGCTCCTGACGCTCTTGACGCTCTGGCGCTCCTGACGCTCCTGACTCTCCAGGCGTCAGAGCGTCAGGAGCGTCAGGGGAATCAGGGGCGCCAGGGGCGTCAGGATCGTCAGAGCGTCAGGAGCGTCAAGAGCGTCAGGAGCGTCAGGGGCGTCAGCAGCGTCAGGGGCGTCAGGAGCGTCAGGGAGCGTCAGGGAGCGTCGGGGGCGCCGGGGGGCGTAAGGAACGTCAGGAGCATCAGAGCGTCAGGGGCGTCAGGAGCGTCAGGAGCGTCAGGGGCGTCAGGAGCGTCAGAGCGTCAGGAGCGTCAAGGGCGTCAGGGGCGTCCACCACTCCGGCGCCGCCGCTCGAGACGTCCTCACACTTCTGGCGCCGCCGCTCGAGACATCCTCACAACTCCGGCGCCGCCGCTCGAGACATCCTCACAACTCCGGCGCCGCCGCTCGAACCATCCTCACAATGTCGGCGCCGCCGCTCGAGACATCCTCACAACTCCGGCGCCGCCGCTCAAGACATCCTCACAATTCCAGCGCCGCCGCTCGAGCGTCAGGAGCGTCAGGAGCGTCAGAGCGTCAGGAGCGTCAAGAGCGTCAGGAGCGTCGGGGGCGTCCACAACTCCAGCGCCGCCGCTCGAGACATCCTCACAACTCCAGCGTCGGGGGCGCCGGGGGGCGTAAGGAACGTCAGGAGCATCAGAGCGTCAGGAGCGTCAGGGGCGTCAGGAGCGTCAGGAACGTCAGGGGCGTCAGGAGCGTCAGAGCGTCAGGAGCGTCAAGGGCGTCAGGGGCGTCCACCACTCCGGCGCCGCCGCTCGAGACATCCTCACAACTCCGGCGCCGCCGCTGGAAACATCCTCACAACTCCAGCGCCGCCGCTCGAGAGACATCCTCACAACTCCGGCGCCGCCGCTCGAGCGTCAGGAGCGTCAAGGACGTCAGGAGCGTCAGGGGCGTCAGGAGCGTCAGGAGCGTCAGAGCGTCAGGAGCGTCAGAGCGTCAGAGCGTCAGGAGCGTCAGGGGCGTCAGGGGCGTCCACAACTCTGGCGCTGCCGTTCGAGACATCCTCGCAACTCCGGCGCCGCCGCTCGAGTCATCCTCACAACCCCAGCGCCGCCGCTCGAAACGTTCTCACAACTCGGGCGCCGCCGCTCGAGACATCCTCACAACTCCAGCGTCGGGGGCGCCGGGGGGCGTAAGGAGCGTCAGGAGCATCAGAGCGTCAGGAGCGTCAGGGGCGTCAGGAGCGTCAGGAACGTCAGGGGCGTCAGGAGCGTCAGAGCGTCAGGAGCGTCAAGGGCGTCAGGGGCGTCCACCACTCCGGCGCCGCCGCTCGAGACACCCTCACAACTCCGGCGCCGCCGCTGGAAACATCCTCACAACTCCAGCGCCGCCGCTCGAGAGACATCCTCACAACTCCGGCGCCGCCGCTCGAGTGTCAGGAGCGTCAAGGACGTCAGGAGCGTCAGGGGCGTCAGGAGCGTCAGGAGCGTCAGAGCGTCAGGAGCGTCAGAGCGTCAGAGCGTCAGGAGCGTCAGGGGCGTCAGGGGCGTCCACAACTCTGGCGCTGCCGTTCGAGACATCCTCGCAACTCCGGCGCCGCCGCTCGAGTCATCCTCACAACCCCAGCGCCGCCGCTCGAAACGTTCTCACAACTCGGGCGCCGCCGCTCGAGACATCCTCACAACTCCGGCGCCACCGCTCGAGAGAGATGGGGGGATGGAGGGAGC